TATTTCTATTTAAGTAATTACTACTCCCTCTATCCCAATTTGATGGTCTTGTTTCTTTTGGGCACAAAGATTAAGAAAATGTGGTAGAAAAACTAAAGAACCTTACTTTATTATAGTGTTCATCCTTTTATTTTTACTGTTCATTAAAAAGGATGGATATAAATGGTAATCCACTTTTAACTCTTTACCAAAAAGGAAAATAAGAACATCATTTTGGGACATCCCAAAAAGAAAATACAAGATCATTATTTTGGGATGAAGGGAGTACTTTGTAATTGGTGAAATACAAAGTAGAGCTTGATCCTATGTTCTATTTAAATGGCCAATCCATACAATATAATTCACTGGCCGGCCAAATTAAAAAAGCTTTTTAGAGTACGTATTTGATCGACTTAATTTATCGTTCATCGGTTCCGATCCGGTCCTGAATTGCTTTGCTCGATCACGTCTATGGCGTCCGATGCTTTTGCTGCTGCTTTTGTAGGTGGAGCTGCGGTACCTGTGCTTCTTGTGTGTGTTGTTTTTGTTTTTTGGAAGAAAGGTTACTTCGAAAAAAATAAAGGACAAGGCAATGGCGGCGATGCTAACCCCAATTAATTACTACTCCATATTAATTAATTAATGTTTATTAATTTGTGATCTCAATGTTTCTTACTGCTTTAGTGAGTGGCCGGTAGATGATTATTAAACCGGCCACTCACTCTTCGCTTGATAAAATTTTTTCTTTTTATGATTGTTGGCTTATAAGCGATCGTTCTTTTACAAGAGTCTATGATTTTGGCATGTTCGTTGTGAATTTGTGATCATTCATTCTTATGTCTCGCCGTATTATAGTTATTGTGCTTGTTATTTTTAGCAATAATTAATCAGTACAAACATTTATAAGAAAGAATTCCTAAAATATTTAAAATGCAAGAACAGTACCTATTGTTTTGAATAATTATGCGTGTTTGAACAAAATTAGCCTTAATGAAAATTGCAGGCACATCCACTTTCCAGATGTGTGCTGCAACCATCCTCTAGCAATTGTGCTGCAACTTGTATTCTCTAGCAAACCACCGCAATTGCCGTCTTTCGGCTAGACCTAGGGATTGATGGGGGGGGGGGGGGGGCTGCCCCCATTGGACATTCTTTTTTTACTATATATGTAATCTTTTCATGAAATTTCGTACTTAAGTATATATGTGTGTTCACCCCCTTAACTTTTAGTTTTCAAAATTAATGTATAGCCTTACATATTGTCATAATTAATTTGAGATTTAAAAGAAGAAATATCTAAAATAAATTACATAACTTAAGCAAATAAACAATAGAACAACTCATTTTTTAAAATTTAGGATACTTATTATATAAAAATTCCTAGTTTTGTAATGTTTAATTATACTAAATAGATACAGGGTATTTTTTTTGAAAGGATTAGATACAAAGTAATTAATACTCGGTTTTGTAAAATATTAAACGATATTAATTAAATACAAAGGAAACTAGTTCAACAACTTTTAGATCACATGAAGTGAATCCAAACTATAAAAGTTTGTTGACATTAAGTTACACAATGTATTTACTTCTTACTTTCCAAAAACAATTTATTGCATAGATAGTAAACTTTAACTTATTTTAGCATTAATACAAATATATATAATATGCATCATATATATGAATTATCAATATAATATTATTCTAAAAATAATAATATCATACATACTATTGTAATATTAAGAAAAAATTTTGTGACTCAATAACACCCCCATGGTACACAAAAGTTGCAATTCCAAAACAAATTCTTTATTCCGGTAAGATTCATGCAGTTAAACACCGCAAAAGTTATTTAAAAAGTATTGGTGAGTATGTAACTTTTAAACTCTTTATCTTCAAATAATTTGATAAAATTTTATATAGCCTTTTTTATTTTCAAATAATTTTTCTTTGATTTGTCATGTTTTACACTTTAATGTATCAATACTTTTTTTCTAGAGCATTACAATTGCAAAATGAGAGTTATTTTTTCATTGTCTAAACTTAAAATCTAATAAACTTAGATTAAAATGGAATCGTGTATGTACTAATGGATTTTTTTTAATAAAACTTAACCGCAGAGCCCTATAGTAGCGAAAACATTTTGTCCCGCTACAATAGCGAAAAGTTTTCACCCCCTACACTAACGAAAAAAATTCGTCCCCTTGACTCGAAATCCTGGATCCGTCCTTGGCAAGACCGGTGCGGCGCCACCCACCATGAGCCGACGCAATCACTCTTCGGCAAGTCGATCTATCTTCGGAGAGATTGCTATGTTGTTAGAAGTGAGACAATAATGACATTTACTTATAAAAATCACTGCATTCTCAGATTAAGTAAAGAATTTTTAGATTAAATTTGAAGCAATTTCGTAACTCGTAAGAATTATGATATTATTAAAATAAAATAATGGTGATTTAAATAAAGAAATTAAGGGACGTGAAGAAAAAGAAAAATAAAAAATTAGTAAGAAAATGCTATCTTTATAAAGGTAGTGATATAGAACTCACATTATTTTGTCTAAAATTTTGTAATTTCAAAGTAATATTATCATCTTGATAGCTGCAATGTCATAAAAGTGACATTTTTCTGATTAGTTGTAATTTATGGCATTCTGAGGTTCTAAATCAATAATACTCATTAAATTAATAGATACTGAAACCTAAAGAAGAAGAAAACAGAGGACTCGAAATTGAAGGAGGCGGAGGTTACCTGTCATTGCCGGAGAAATCAGTGTGGCGGCGTCAATCAAGAGAGCACCTGCGATTGATGGCGTTGATCAGAGGGCATCCCATAGAGTTGGAGAAATCGTGAGCTGAGCGGAAGGAATAGCAGATTCACTTCCCAATCTCGCAAGCGGATGCTATGAATGATCGGGAGAAATTGGTTGTGTTTAATAACAGGAAGGGAAAAAGTGTAATCTAGAATCCTATATAGTTAACAATAAACTCAAACTTCCATTTAAAAACTTTGACACTGTTTTGGTCATATTTAATTTAGGTCAATTTCTTAACATTTAATGATAACACCTAAAAGTATACATAACTTGTAAGAAAAGATGATGAACTAATGAAGAACATGAGAGAGAGTAAAAAAAGGATTCTATTTTCTTAGATTAATATTTTTATTGGTCTTACAAGTGATTTAAATACAAAATATAGAGACGGATTAAAGAAAGAATAAACTAGAGGCAAGTGGCTTGATGTGACAGATTTAGGCTCCAAAAGTTCAAATTCCAATACACTTTCTTGCCTTTAACAGACATGTGGTGAGTTGGCTATGAATGGGTTGACTCTTTTTCAAGTATCCATGTTTCTTCTTCTCAATACTCCCCCTCAAGCTTGAGCATAAGGTATGGTCAAGCTTGAAAATCCATGAACACATCCCTCATTAAAACCTTAGTGTGAAAAAAAACCAATGGGACAAAAACACACTTAAGGAAAAAGAGTAGATGCCTCATGGGCGAAATGATCATGATCTAGACAAGTCTATGAGTCCCAACCTTGAATGGATGTACTCACAGACCTTTGTGCTTGCTCCCTTGGCGAAGATGTCAGCTAACTGGTTTTCATTTATTGTGTAACAAGGTAAGATGATATGTACGTTGCTCCACAGCTTGTCTAATCTTATGACAATCTACCTCAATGTGTTTGGTCCTCTCATGGAATACTGAGTTTGACGCAATGTGAATAACAGCTTGATTATCACAATGCAATTGGTGATGTAGTCTCTATGCCCAAATCCAGTAGCAGGTTCTTGATCCAAATGAGTTCACTAATGAGTTTCCTCATTGCTCTATATTATGCCTTAGCACTTGAACATGACACCACCTTTTGCTTCTTGCTCTTCTAAGTGACTAAGGTGCCTCCAATGAATGCGCAATGGCCTATTGTAGACCTCCTGTCCACTCTATCACCAGCCCAATCAGCCCCCCCCCCACCATCTCAGTGCTTTCATTATGACCTATCCAAACACATTGACTTGGAGCCCCTCTTAGTTTCTCATGATCCTTTCCACCATATTCCAATGATGAACCTTTGGAGCTTGCACATTGTACTATTGGAGATACTTTTAGCATAAGTTTTCCAAGATTATAACATGAAGCAAATTTGCTGAAATTAAAGATTGTAAGGTAAATATGTAGGGGACAGATTTAGCCTTGCAGAATCGACTCAGAGAGAGATAATCATATACGCAGTATTATATGTTAGTTCAAAATTATGCTAAGTAAATTAATGGATAGCTTACATGCACAAGTCTAAAAAAGGAAGAACAAAAGACAAGAACATTAAGTGCTTGTTATCCGTAGCACAAACATCCAAACAATTATTGACTAACTGTGAATCATGAGAATCCTATGACGTGACCAAAATATAAATAATTACTTAATCATTGAATAACTACATATCATGAGCCAAACACCTTTTGATTCGCTAACATCACTGTGACACTCTCAAGGAGGTCACAAGTTCGAAACGCATCCCAGTCAAGGATATTCGCATTTAACAGAACAGATACAATAAAAACAGAGAAAATGTAGTAAAAAAACTACATATCATGACAATTAAATGAAGGCTACTAATTACCAATCACCCTCGATCAACTCTTTGTTTTACTATTAATTAATGTGTATGTTTTGTAATCTCAATCTTTCTTACTACATGCTTGAGTGACAGTTGTCGATCTAATTTCTTCAACAGATTCGGTCAATTTAGTCAACCTTTCCTTGAATTCAATCAATTCAATAATTTCAATGTTACCAAACAAGTTCTAAGTATTAATAAGTTAAATATTCATTCGACTATGAAATACGGAGTAGGCATTTATTCTTGTAAGTTTGAGAGAATAGAATGACTTAATTTATTCCATCACCCGGGTACAATATATATAGGATACAAGTCTAACAAACTAAATGATGAGATCCTAAAAATTAGGATCTGACTACCTAATTATCTTTATCTCATACGTGTGAGATTTACATCAGATAAGACTAAGTATTTATCTACAAATTAATCTAACTATACAGTTTTACACTCCCCCTCAAGTTGGTGAATATATATCATACATTCCCAACTTGCTTACTAGTTTTTCAAACACTGGTTTGAACAATCCTTTTGTTAGAATATCAGCAGTTTGATCCCTGGTAGGCACAAATGGTGTACACACAATTCCAGCTTCGATTTTCTCTTTGATAAAGTGTCTATCCACTTCAATGTGTTTTGTTCTGTCATGTAGGACTGGATTGTGTGCAATGCTAATAGCTGCCTTGTTGTCACAATATAGTCTCATAGGTAACTCCAATTCCATATTCAGTTCTTTGATCACCCTCTTGATCCAAAGAAGTTCACATATACCATTGGCCATTGATCTGAATTCTGCCTCTGCACTGCTTCTAGCTACCACATTCTGCTTCTTACTTCTCCAAGTCACTAGATTTCCCCATACATAAGTGCAGTACCCTGAAGTAGATCTTCTATCACTTACTGATCCTGCATAATCAGCATCTGTGAAGGCCTCTACTGCCCTACTATGGTTCTTTTTGAAAAACAAACCTTTTCCAGGACAACTTTTCAAATACCTAAGAATTCTGTAGGCTGCCTCAAGATGTTCTTTATATGGACAATGCATAAACTGACTTACCATGCTAACTGCAAAAGCAATATCAGGTCTGGTATGTGCTAAGTATATAAGTCTTCCTACCAATCTCTGATATTGTTGCACATTGACTGGAACCCCATCTCTGACATCTCCTAACTTCTGGTTTGAGTCTATAGGAGTGTCAGCTGGTTTACATGCACTCATCCCTGTTTCTTGAAGAAGATCTAAAACATACTTCCTTTGAGATACAATTATTCCCTCTTTTGATCTAGCTATTTCCATGCCAAGAAAGTATTTCAAATCTCCCAGATCTTTGACTTCAAATTCAGCAGCAAGTTTTTTCTTCAGGCTTTGTGTTTCTTCATGAAAGTCTCCTGTAATGATAATATCATCTACATAGACAATTAATATAGCAATCTCCCCCTTACTTGAACATTTTATAAATAGAGTATGGTCAGCTTGGGCCTGTTTATATCCCTGTTTTTTAACAAACTGTGTGAACCTATCAAACCAAGCCCTTGGGGACTGTTTGAGTCCATACAGGGATCTTTCTAGCTTACATACTCTTGAACCAAACTTGTTTTCAAACCCAGGAGGAGGATTCATGTAAACTTCCTCAAGTTTTCCATTTAAAAAAGCATTCTTCACATCCAACTGTTGAAGAGGCCAATCTAAATTTGCAGCCAGGGATAGAAGAATTCTGATAGTATTCAGCTTTGCAACTGGAGCAAAGGTCTCGGTGTAATCTATGCCATAGGTTTGTGTATAACCTTTGGCAACTAACCTTGCCTTATACCTCTCAAGAGTGCCATCTGCCTTGAACTTAGGAGTGAAAATCCATCTACATCCAACTGTGGGCTTGTCTTTAGGTAGCTCTACAACCTTCCATGTCTGATTCTTTTCAAGAGCATCCATCTCTTCCAAAACAGCCTTTTTCCACTCAGGTTTAGATAGAGCTTCCTGTATGGGTGATGGGATAGAAACAGAGGAGACAATAGAAGAAAAGGTTGCAAATGTAGAGGATAATCTAGAATAAGAAACATGGTTTGAGATAGGATATTTGACACATGACCTTCTTTCTTTTCTGAGAGCTATAGGTAAATCAAGATCAGTTGAGTCATTACCTTTTTCATTTACTGACATCTGGTCAGATTCATTAACAGATGTAGGTTCAAAGACTTCCTCTTCTCTTTGATTTGGAACCTTTCTCTCATAAACCTTGCCAAAGAACTTACTGATCTGCAATTCTTCACCTCCCAGTTTATCAGTTGTATTCATTTCATTATTTTTTGATGCTTGACCATTTTCTAATGCATCTAAGTTTCTAATAGAATGCATATCTAGATTAATGTCAAGAAAATCAAGATTGTCATGAATATGTGACACATTGGTAGCATCTTCATTAAAACTCTCCCCCTGAAGATGAGTATCAAAAAACACTTGATTTTCAACAAAAACAGTGTCCATTGAAATAAACATCTTTTTTGTTGAAGGATCAAAGCATTTATACCCTTTCTGTGTGGATGAAATACCTAAAAAGACACACTTAGTTCCTCTAGGATCAAATTTACTTGCTGTTTTGTCTGGATTTTTAATAAAAACAGTGCAACCAAAGATTTTTAAAGGAAGAGTGCTAATCAATCTAGTAGTAGGGTAACATTCTTGCAGAATACTAATTGGAGTTTTGAACCCTACAACTTTTGATGGCATCCTATTTATTAAATAGGTAGCATGTAAAACAGCATCTCCCCATAAATATTTTGGAACTTTCATTGAAAACATGATTGCACGTGTAACTTCAAGTAAATGCCTATTTTTTCTCTCAGCAATTCCATTCTGAGCAGGAGTATTAATGCAAGAACTTTGATGAATTATTCCTTTTTCAGCAAAAAAATGATTTAGGTTTGTAGAAAAGTATTCACGGCCATTATCACTTCTTACCATTTTTATATTGGTATTGAATTGAGTTTGGACCATTGCATAAAACTGCTTAAATACATTTTCTACTTCTGATTTTTCTTTGATAAAAAATACCCATGTCATTCTTGTATGATCATCAATAATTGTTACAAACCATCTCTTTCCTTTTAAAGTAGGGATTCTAGATGCTCCCCAAATATCACTATGCACAAGAGTAAAAGGGCTGGTAGGTTTGTAACTGTGGGGAAGATAAGAATTTTTATGATGCTTTGCAAGTGTACACATATCACAATGAAACTGTGAAACATTTTTATTATGAAATAATTGAGGAAACAACTTTTTTAAATAATGGAAACTAGGATGACCTAGTCTATAATGAATTAAATACAACTCCTTATCACTGGGAAACGTAATAGTTTGCAGACAAGTAGTTCTTTGACCTTGTTTATTTGATTCAGTCCCTTTATCAAATATATAGAGTCCATCTTCTTCCCTAGCACTGCCAATCATCTTCCCCGATGCCAGATCCTGAAAAATGCAATAGGAAGGATAGAATTTAACACAACATTGAAGATCTTTGGTTAATTTGCTAACAGAAACAAGATTACAGGATAGATTTTGGACATGTAAGACTTTAGAAAGGTCAATAGAAGTGGAAACTTTAATATTTCCAGTTCCTGCAATGGCTGAAAGAGAGCCATCTGCAACTTTTATTTTCTTATCCCCTGCACGAGGTTTATAAGAAGAGTATAGATTGGAAATGGAGGTCATGTGGTCTGTTGCACCTGAGTCAATGACCCAGGTGGCATTTGGTTTTCCAGAACAGAAAAATGATGCAATTTTACCATTCTGAGCAAAAGAACAAGAAGGGTTTTCTGATTTAGGGTTCTTTTGGGTATTAAAAAGTTGTAGGAGCTGCTCTATCTGCTCCTTGGTGAAAATTGGCTGCTTGAAATTGACTTGTTGCTCTTGATCAGTTTCAGGTATGGCAGTATGTAGGGCCCTTTCAACTTTTTTTGTCCTGCTCCAGGTGGTTTGCCATGAATCTTCCAACAAGTCTCCCTAGTATGCCACAGTTTCTTGCAATGATCACACCAAGGCTTTTTCTTCTCATTTCCTTTGGCAATCATTGCTGAGGACTCTCCTGGATCATCATGATGGACTGAAGTGTTATTCATGACCTTTTTCCTACTATCTTCCACCCTGATTTCAGAAAATACCTCCCTGATTGAAGGTAGAGGTTTTTTTCCAAGTATTCTTCCCTTAACTTCATCCAGGTCTCTATTAATTCCTGCTAGGAACATATAGACCCTATCATTTTCTTCCCTCTTTTTGTGTCTTGCCAGATCCTTGGCACTTTCCCATTCTTCAGCATCATAGCATTGGTCTAACTCTTGCCATAGGGATACCATCTCATTATAGTATGAGATGACATCTCTACTGCCTTGTTTAGACTGCCACAGCTTTGTTTTTAATTCATAAATCTGAGAAGAGTTCTCAAGATCTGAATAGGTTTCTTTGATGGAATCCCATACCTCTTTTGCAGTTTTCATGAACATGTGAGGTTTGGCGATTGATGCATCCATTGAACTGAGAAGCCAGACTGTTACCAAAGAGTTTTCTGACCTCCAGACACTGTAGCCATCATCACCACTTTTCTTCTCTGCTATCTCACCCGTTATGTATCCCAGCTTTCCTCTTCCATCAATTGCCAGCTTGACAGACTGTGACCATTCTAGACAATTAGTTCCATTCAATCTATGTCCAGTAATGAGCATAGATGAATTAATCGAGGCCTCATAGTTTGTCATTTGGCTAATTTGAGAGTTAGGGTGAAGGGTTTGTGAGTGAGGGGAAGAACCAGAGTGCTCGGTTTCCACCATTGTGGTGTTTAAACAGCCCGCTCTGATACCATGTAAGTTTGAGAGAATAGAATGACTTTATTTATTCCATCACCCGGGTACAATATATATAGGATACAAGTCTAACAAACTAAATGATGAGATCCTAAAAATTAGGATCTGACTACCTAACTATCTTTATCTCATACGTGTGAGATTTACATCAGATAAGACTAAGTATTTATCTACAAATTAATCTAACTATACAGTTTTACAATTCTTCACGCTGCTAGTTTGAGAGTGTGTATCAGAAAATGTCAATGATATTTTTAAAATCATAAATTATTTGTTTCATTGTTATTATAATGGGGATAATACAAAAAGACATATTTTTAAAATTAGTACAAATGTATGTATTTTGTTAAGTTAAAAAAATGAAATTTTAACAGCACTTAGATAGTGAAAAATATCAACTATAAATATTTTATGAGAAAGTTAAACATTTCTTAAAACTAACAAAGCAAACACATTGAATAAAATATTATACTAAATTAAAAAATATTACCAAATGCACCAAGGATCAATTTGGCTAGTGACCAATCCGATCAATGATCATGACCCTAACTTAATCCTTATATATAAATCAAGTCAAAATCACGTCAAAATTACATCACTGATCCACTATGGGGGCAGTGAGGGCAGCTGCCCCCACTTAACCCCAACTTAATCCTTATACATATTTAAAATTTTAACTGACCAATCCGATCAATGATCAGGGACGAAGGTAATGCCGTGATGTAATTTTGACGTGATTTTAATCACTTATTTGTCTTAATCCAAAATTGGTCCTATTTTTGTCCATCTAAAAGTTGATAGTCTTATTTTTTTTCCATTCTTTCATTTAAACATAATTTTATATTAAATGTGAAAATTAAACTTCACAAACTATATAAGTAGTATAAAGATGTTTTAATTGACTTGAAATTTAAATTTTTTGAGTTGATCTAGTATGATGTGATAAATATCTAGTGATTCTAGTCTATGTGTAATTTATAACTGTCAAAGTCTAGTCAGAGCTAATCTAATTTGGTGTGGGACTGGTAAAAGTGTAAGGGGGCATTTGGCAGGATGGAAAACAATTACTTTGCGTGCGAAGTGTAAGGACGTAAAATCACTAAAATGTTTACTCTGTTTGGTTTGATTATTTAATGTAAACTGTAGGACATTTTTTTAAAACATTTCGCACTGTATCAATAAAGTATTTTACATGGGGGGAGAGTGGTAAAATACTTTGCATGCCTTTTATGAAGCACTGCAACGACTTTGTGTGCAATTTAAAAATAAATTACACATATAGTCAAACAATGTAATGTATTTTACATGCAAAATGATTGTCTCCCTATACTTTGCATGCAATCACTTTACGTGCAAAAATTTAACGTGTAAACAACCAAACGAGCCCTAAGTAAAAACTTTTTACCTAGTACCTTATTTGAGACCATCTTTAAAAAAGTTAATTAAGGATGTTTTTATTTGGACTGTAATTTGCTGATCTGGTCTGGTCTGATTTCTTTGTATTTTTATAACTACCCAAGTCTGGTCTGATCTGGTCTGATCTGATCCAGTCTGGTCTGGTCTGGTGTGAGACAAATTACCGTCCAAGTAAAACATCCTAAATACAATCATAATTATACGAAGTATACTCCGTATTATTTTGGACTTTAACCGTTTAACGGATGAGGACTACGGAGTACGAACTACGAAGTATAATACACAGTATAATATACGGAGTGTATATTCCTGCAATCCTTCTGCGCACTCCATCTCCGCTCAACATCTGGCCTCTCTGTCTCTCAATCCTCGCGGTTGTTCAACGCGGCCATTTCGAACGGAGTTTTTAATATGATATATCTTCGCTGCTCAATACTAAGGTTCGCATTCTCTTAGATTGATTCAATTTTTCTTTGAATTTTGTGTGAGATATAGATTTTATACCTGGTATTTAGCTAGTCATTTGCTTCTTCGCATGATTTTTGCTTTAATTTGTTATTTTTTTTGCATGGAATCACTGTTGGGTATTCAGATGTGAGATTTCACATTCATTTCGGATCATGGATAGGTATTTCAAGATGAAGATCGTTTTCTTGAAATTATGCTCATATATGGGGTTATTTTGTTCGAATGTGCTTCTAATGTTAATATGACTATCAGTTTCCCTTTATGAAATTATTGGATTACTCCCCCAAATCTCTCCCAATGATATTTTATTGTAAAACCAAGCTATAATCTATTAATATGGTAATAAGATCAGATTAACTACAAGTCACAAAGCCAGTAACCTTTCTCAATAGAAAAGAATGGCAGTTAGGGGGTATGAGTGCCCCTATAAGAATCTGAAATCGCATGATTCAGACTAGATGTTAGGTCTTGGGAGTTGGGATACCCCTCTGAAAAATGCATGGTACAAATGCTTTGTGAAGGGTGTATGTCCCTAACAAAGTGATAAGATTGTCAAGATTGCTAATTATGAAATTGTATCTAACTAATCAACGTACAACACATTTTGCTACTTCAACCAGGTTAATCTCAAGGTAAGGTCTCAAGTTTTAGTGTACTACAACATAGTGAAGCAGAGGGAGTACTTAATAATTGTTTACTGTAAAGCAAACTTGTGTCTTACAAGTAATTTTACATGTTATCAACTTACAAAGATCTCAGCTCACAATGAACATCTAATTTACCAAACATCTTTTTATAAACAGTTGATACTACCAACCAGTCAAACAGCTAAGCCAACCCGCTTGCAGCCAACAATCAATTATCAAACGAGGCCAATGTCTACTCTCTCTTCTCCAATGAGTTCGACTCTGTCAACATCTCAAGGGATATTTCCTCCTCCTATGTTTGGTGCATATGAATCAGAGTCTGCTAGTGACACTGATGTAGTTGAGTTGCATTCTGTAATATGGAACCAAGACTACAGTTGCTTTGCTGCTGGTACAAGCTGTGGTTTTCGCATATATAACTGTGATCCTTTCAAGGAGACTTTTAGACGTGATCTCAAAAGTGGAGGGTTTGGGATTGTCGAAATGCTATTCAGGTGCAATATTTTAGCCCTTGTTGGTGCTAAGGACAATACTCAATACCCACCAAACAAAGTTATTATTTGGGATGATCATCAAAGCAGGTTGGTTTCTCATATAATTTTACATTATCTCACTCATTGCCATCTCATGATAACCGATGATGATGACAACTCTATAACTTTCTTCTTTTCATTGACCCTTAAGAATGTTGCGATGGTAAGGATATTCGCCGGAAACTGTTTTCTCTATGTTTTTATTTTTCTTAAATATGTTTTTTCGTCCTTGTAATAAGTTTTTTTTCTTTTAAGGTCAATATGAAATTATTACTCCCATTTGCTTTTCACGGAGTTTAAGATAATTATTGTAGACTTTATAAAAAGTAAGAGATTTTTGGTACTGTAGCGGTACTGTAGCTGCTTTTTGAGTGAGTTTCTTTCCAAAAAGGGAAATGAGATAATTAATGTAATACACCCAAAAAGGAAAGTGAGACAACTAAAGAGATACGGAGGGAGTATATTTTTGTTACTCATCCTTGTACTTAATGTTTTTATTTTTTAGTCTCCTTGCATAAACTTTCGCTGAAAATCTGATATGGATTACAGAAAACAACTTGGCTTTTCAGCACGATTTAATAAAATGTTCAATATGTTATTTCCTATGAGCCAGAAATGTGTGAATTAAAGTGGAAACATTGTGTTTTGCTTAGATCTCACTCTCTTAATAGGCTCGAAAGAGTTACAAAAACACGGTGTGGAAAAGCTACTCCATAGTTGTGTGCGATGTCACTTTTTTACCAGAGGTCAACCGAAAAAGACGAAGTTATAGGGATGGATAGCAAAAAATGATTTACATGGACCTTTTAAAAAACTATATTTGAGGGGATAATAGCATATTTAAGCCTTTTCTTGCATGAATTTAGAGTGTCAACTGGTTATACGATGAGTAACACTATAAAATATGTCATCGACCCAAATTGGTTGGGATTTTGGTGTTTATAATGATGATCAAAGCAGGTGCATTGGCGAGTTTTCTTTTAGATCCGAGGTTCGTGCTGTGAAGCTAAGACGTGACCGCATTGTTGTCGTGCTTGAATACAAGATATATGTATACAATTTTATGGATCTAAAGCTTCTTCATCAGATAGAGACTTGCCCAAACCCCAGGGGACTTTGTTGCTTGTCACACAACTCAAACACATCTGTTTTGGCTTGTCCGGGCCTTAGGAAAGGACAAGTACGGGTTGAGCATTTTGGATTGAACGTGACAAAATTAATCAAGGCTCATGATTCTCAAATAGCTTGCCTAACCTTGACAATGGATGGGCTTCTTCTTGCCACGGCTAGCACAAAGGGAACTTTGGTAAGAATTTTCAATACAATGGACGGAACTCGTCTGCAAGAGGTACTTTCTTATGTCAACCTTAGTCACTGGCTTTGAAGAAGTATTTTAAATTTGTTCACTGTTTTCAAACGTGAAAAGCTATAAATGTTTTTATAGTTAAACCCTCTTCTATTATTATAACCTTTTTGTAGTTATACATCGTCGTTAATAAGAAATACAAACTTACATTAGAGATTTGGTTATTCCTCTTATATCTTCTAGTACAGAACCCAATCTTAATAAGGAATCATACTCATTAAGCTAAAAAAAGCAGTTCTCTATGGGAGGTCTAGAAAAGCTCATGTACTTAATGATTGGCCTTTTTGAATGAGCAGTCTCTTGAGGGGCATGTTAAGTCGACCAGAATTGAAAAAATATAAATATATACACCCAATAGAGAAGATTTTGGAATTTAGATTACTCCTATAAGTTACTACAACTTACTAGAGAGGTCTTTCTGAATGATTCTAGAGTTATGTGATGTCAGTATAGATTGTATCTTAAGTCTTAACTTGTGACTGTGGATACTTTAGCTGACTCTTGTACTTCCACTTCCCAATAGGTTCGAAGAGGCGTAGACAAAGCCGATATCTACAGTATAGCACTATCACCTAATGTTCAGTGGTTAGCCGTGTCTAGTGATAAAGGCACCATTCATGTATACAGCCTAAGGGTGCGAATTATTGGGGAGGATGTTGCAACTGATACCAGTGCTGCTTTTGGAAATCAAGCTCAGCTGTATCATCAGCATTCATCAACTGCTCTTGATGCTCTTATTTCTCCAAGCATGGGCGCCAACCCGGGATCATCATTATCTTTCATGAAAGGTGAGAATTTATTTCTTAACGCATAATTGACCCTAAACTCATCAAAGGGATCATCTAGCCCCTAATGTAAGTGAAGTAACTCATTAATGACCCTGAACTTAAAAAAGGTCCTGATTTGTGAAGATGCCTCAAACATATACACGACTGGATATATAAAGTTGCAAGCAATGAAAAACAGCACCATCATCGTCAATATAATTTTTCTTTGCATTTTTGCAATATCATTGACTATAGCTTTCTGCATATACATCATGTATAAGGTCATTAAATATATTATTCTAAAGTTCAAGGTCATTAACTCATTAATGAGTTATTATTTGGTTAGTTTATTAGTTAATTCAACTTTTGAAGAGTTCAGGAGCAATAAGAGTTGAAAATTCATGGTCATTTCTAACCAAGGGTTTCTTTTCATTTTACAGGAGTTCTACCGAAGTACTTTAGCTCGGAGTGGTCATTTGCTCGGTTCCACTTGCCAGAGTGTACCCAATTTATTGCTGCTTTTGGATCTCAGGATACAGTTATTGCCGTTGGGATCGATGGGAGGTAGGGGGACACTATTCTTTACGGTTGTCATTGAGGTGTTGTTTGGTAACATTTTGCTTTCGCTATCATCTCTCCTGAAATTAGGAGCAAGATGTGCTTGACACTTGACAGTAGTGTTTTTGTTTTCAGTTTCTGAAAACCATAACAAACAATATCTGGAAACTTGGTGAATCCGTTGGTTTTATATATTTGCTTCTGACTTTGACACTAAAACTTTTGGATTTTTCTTTTTAACCAAAATATTTTATTTTTGATAACAAATACATAGTTAATTCATATGTGTTCGTTACATTAAAATAAGCCTACCAAACATGTGTAATAGTTTGAATTCTGGAAACATAAAACATAAAACAAGAAACATTGCAAACTAGTAAAATTGCTATGTTTCCCTTGGATGTGTCTTTTTTTATTCATTTTGTTCAGGGTTTTATTGAAACAATGTAGTCAGTCAGCCAACTCAGCTTATTACTCATCTGTTCTCTAATCTCTTTTTAAATCTTCCATCACTAGTTTTTACAGGTGTAGTTTTGACCCTGTGAATGGAGGTGAAATGGTGCAGCAGGAACATGTTTGCTTTCTGAAAACGAATAGTAGTGCTGTTGCCAAGTAGACCCAAGTTTATTTCAATTTTTGTTCTCTTCCTCTTGTAAATATGCCATTGGTTTATTATTTGGATGTAAGTAAGAAAAATAATTCAGATGCCATTCAGCTGATGATGATAGATGTTAATAATTATAGTAATCTTCTCAATGCACATAATTTCCATCAGTTTGTAGAAGACCCGAATGCTAAAAAATGATACAATAAATATTACTACGTACCAATTTTGTGGTCATTCGTTTTCATTCATTGTTGCAATTGGTAAGTTGTAAGGGATGAATATCACATGTAATAATATATATGGGGCATAAATTACCATATAAAGTTTTGACTTATGTTCAAGTTTTTTATTAGAGATAAAGGATCATATTTGACATTATAGTTACACGTTAATTTCATATTTGACACTAAAGTGTCAAATTTTTTGTCACATTTGAACACATGCCAAAGGTTTTCAAAACAACAAATATCATCGGAGTAATAAAGTAAAGAAGTAAAACTAATAAATTGACTTTTATACTCCAAATTTGATCAAGAGATAATACGTTGATGTTTCACCACATTAGATCTGTTCCACCTATAAATTGAACATTTTCACCAATTTCAAATCAATTGGTTCTATGGTTCAAAGAATTATTCAAAATGTCATTTTAACATATCTTGCCCATTCTGCAAACATGTTCCTACCTTGAGTAGTTATTAAAAATTCACAATAGTTTACTCAAATATATCTTCATCAAATGAAACTTAAAAATAATAATGTCATTTATTTACTGTAGATTTTACTTTTATGGATGTGTGAACACTATTTTAGAATGTACAAATAATGTATGCACTTGTTTTCGGGACGAAAATATAGTACTCCGTATTAATACGAGTCATATTCTGTTTTAAGTTTTAACCCATTTTGGGATGAAATAAAAAATACTAGTACTCCGTATTAGGGAGCACCATAAAAATTACACCGGCCTTCTGTAAAAGTCAAATCCGGTAAGAATCTTTGAAATGCAAACCAGATCGGAATAAAAAAAAATGGGGCTTTAACAATTTTCCATTCAAATGAATTGAAATTCCATTCCCCCGCTGCAGCCTTGTGTCGCCGCCCTCCTGTCTCCTCTCAACCGTAGTTTGACTTCCTCCGGCAGTTTCGTGGTGGGTAATTAAGTGTGCTGGGAAGCCCTAAATTTTCAGTATCAACGTCTGGAGATTTAGGGTTCTTACAGATTATTTATTCGCGGGAAACCAGTTGTTTCAATCTCCCGAAACCTGGAGATGCTGTCTCCGAGCTGATCAGTGTGTCTGCACGCCGATGTTTCTGCAGTTTAGCTAGATTTGGTGTGCAACTGGGGCGAATTTAGGTAATGGACGGAAGGAGAATCACGGCGAGTCCCCGGCCGTGCATCGGCAGGCGAGTTGTGGCTAAGAAGCGACCTCGGAGTGGCAAGGATGGGTTCGTGAACAGCGTCAGAAAGCTTCAGAGGAGGGAGATCTCCTCTAAGCCTGACCGGGCTTTTAGCATGAGCGATTCCCAAGAGCGATTCCGAAACATTCGATTACAGGTTCACTGCATCGGTTATCTAAAACATTTGAATTGAATCTGTTATCACCAAGATCGTATCTGTATTATGAAAGTTCAGATTTGACACAGCGAACTACTGGGTAAAATTATTTAAGAGCTTTTTCCCACTTTGGATATTATCGACTCTAAGAGGCGTATCAGAAATCCTTATTTAGCTTATAAGAGGGCTTGAAGAATAGACATCACATATTTTGAAATTGATTTCATAGTCTCACATTGAACTAAACATTCATTTTAAGTTGAATGGAATCGATATACTGTGAATAGAAGTGGCAGATTCACTGGTGTGTGGAGTGTGGATGAACTTTACTTTGTTTTGTTTTGTTTTTTCATATTGAACAAGCATGATTGAAAGGCGAAGCCCGTTTTTTTGGAGGGTGGGGGGCAAATTTTACCCAATCAACTTAAGTTGCTGAAATTGCCTAATGGACTGTATGGATCCATTTAAAATATTTCAAAAATATTTGTTTTTAAAGAAAATGATATATCGAGTATTAGAATAAATATTAAAATAAATATACTAATGCCATTTTCTTTTATTTTGGCAAATTATGCCATTTCTGTATTAACTTCTTTAATTATTGATATGGCTTCAGGAGGAATATGATACCCATGATCCTAAAGGATATTGTTCAATGGTGCTACCATTTCTGAAAAAAAGGTCTAAGATTATTGAGATAGTAGCTGCACGTGATGTTGTCTTTGCTCTTGCCCAATCTGGGGTCTGTGCAGCATTTAGCCGAGGTAAGTACGCATTATATGATTTGAACTTGGCGCCAAATTTTTATTTAAGGCTGTGCCTAGAACTTGAAAAATGGTAAGAAAAGGAAATTATTTCTATGCTATTACGTAATTGAGTTTTTAATATTTTGTTTTACCTTGGAAAATTCCATTGAAAACCAAATTTGCTCAATACTTTTTGTGGATTTCAGTTTCTTTGTGTAATATAAATATCTCAATTCTCAATACAAAGAGTTTTAATAAGTACTGGAGTATCAAATATTGTTTTATTGAGTAATCTAATGCAAAAATTTGAACAAATACAAAAAATTATTTATCCAATTTGAACATAAGTTCATCCCCCCCACATTTTATCTCACTCAAAATTAATTTTTTTCCATCCCAATTTTCATCCCTAGCATTTTCCAAGTTCCAAAGGTGCTCTAAATTCTTAGGTGGAATGCAATTTCTCGAATGCTAATATTGTAGCCACATGTTTATATTGCTGATACAGAGAGCAACAATAGGATATGTTTTCTGAATATCAGCCCAGATGAAGTGATACGGAGTTTGTTCTTCAATAAAAACAATGACTCGCTCATCACAGTTTCAGTTTACGCTTCAGATAATTTTAGCTCTTTGAAGTGTCGTACCACTAGGATCGAGTATGCAACTATACACTTTAGCTCTTTTACACTTGTATTTTTAATCTTTTGTTCTTCAAATAATTGGTTGAATCTCCTGAATTACCTGAAAGGAAATGCATTTAGTGAATCAATTTGAGCCAAATAAGTATGTCAAAGGCTACTTATTTTGCTAATAAGCAAAATAAGATGATTGCCTGATTGATGATGCCAAATGGGCCTTAGTTGTAGCATTTATTCAGTATATTGTTGAATGTTGATAATGTGTTAGGTACATAAGAAGAGGTAAACCAGATGCTGGATTTGCTCTTTTTGAGTCTGAGTCATTAAAATGGCCTGGCTTTGTAGAGTTTGACGATGTAAATGGGAAAGTGCTGACCTACTCTGCTCAAGACAGGTATATGCTCTGTTGGATGATCCCATACATCTTTAATTCTAGATCTATTTGTTTTTTGACTATAAGTTTAATTTTGCAAATCTGTCTTTGATCAGCATATACAAGGTATTTGACCTGAAGAATTATACGATGTTATACTCTATATCAGATAAAAATGTTGAAGAGATTAAAATCAGGTAAGTCTGCTTGCAGTTTTCCAAGTATGTATAAGCTTGCATTATTATATATATTGTGTGATATTCCTTTTGTTTTGAATCCAGAATTACTAGGCAAAGATAACCGGAAGGAAAATGTAAAGGAATATTGGAAGAAAAAAACATGTGTGATATAAAACAGAGGCAAAGAGCCCTAAAAGACAATAGCTTTTGCTTTTGATATCTGTTAGTACTCTATTATATTTATTTATGTTTATTCAATAAAGGTTAGGGTTAAGCAAATTTTCATTAATAATAATCATATTTCATTTTCCTTTGTATTTTTCATGTTAAAACTAATTGTATACAAATAAATACAATAACATTCCTTCGAGTCTAATTTACTGTAAGCAAGAAGCTGCTTGTATTTACTCTAATTTTATGTCGTATTTTTCTTTTGAAACCATAGTCCAGGAATTATGTTATTAATATTCACCAAAGCTAGTTGCTATGTTCCTCTAAAGATTCTCTCCATTGAGGACGGGACTGTCCTAAAATCTTTCAACCATCTGCTTCATCGTAATAAGAAGGTTGACTTCATTGAACAGTTCAATGAAAAACTACTTGTCAAGCAAGAAAATGAGAACCTTCAAATTCTGGATGTGAGTGATCTTACTGTCACAACCTTATCTCATCCACCAATATATCGACGAATCTAATGTTCAATTTGAAGTTCATTTGTGATTTGGTCCCTTGGCTATACACTATTACTTAGTTTGGTCGTTCGCTTACTTTCTTCTGGAATGAATTTATTTTCGACTAATAATATTTTGGCAGGATATAATCTCATGTGTATTTCTTTGTAAATTAGAGGGGTACTGTTGTTCGTGAGGACTAAAATGGACCCATATTACACAGTTGGTCAAATTGAGTCTGAAAATTGGGTCGTATTTTTGTGAGCTCTGAAAAGATAAAAAAAAACTTCTTTCTTTAGAACCAAATATGTATGATAGACTAAAATTTGGTTCAGTTATGCCATTGAGGAGGCCTGAAATTGGTCTAAATTCAGTTAAGCGACATAGTTACTCTTTTTATTTATTACGGAGTATCATAAGTATGTTTCGGAACTTAATTGGGTCCAATTTACTTAGGTGAGGCCCAAACTGGTTCCTAAACCCAGTCTATATTTTCAGGACAGACAAAAATACCCTTCTTGTTTACGGCGAAATATATATGAGGACTAAATTGGGTTCAAAATTCGAGTTGAGAACCAATTTAGTCCAATAAATAGTTGATGACCAAATCCAGTGATAGTGTGTAGTCAAAGGACCAAGTCAAGCATTAACTTAAATTATATATTATCTTTAGGTTCGCAATTCTGAGTTGACAGAGGTCAGTAGGACCGAGTTCATGACGCCATCGGCTTTCATATTTCTTTATGAGAACCAGCTATTCTTGACATTCAGAAACAGGACGGTTGCCGTTTGGAACTTCCGTGGGGAGTTGGTAACATCATTCGAGGATCACCTTTTATGGCATCCCGACTGTAATACTAACAACATTTACATCACTAGTGACCAGGATCTAATCATATCATACTGCAAAGCTGATTCTGATGACCCTCTATCTGAAGGAACTGGTAAGTTTTGTCCAACTTTAAGCACCTTATTTGATTCAAATAAGTCCACGTACTGTTTTGAAAAAGTCAATTGAGTCCAATACTGTTTCATCAATCAATTAAGCATACAATTTCTCAAATTTTAATCAATTTTTCCATTTAACTGGTAAACAACCGGTAACCCCCTGTGTTGCTCACGTAGATGCCACTTGGCC